ATGTCATGATACTGACCCAAGCCGAAATGCTTCTTGGGGAATATAATTTCTTGACGCTCGAAGCCAAAGTCAAACACACAACGCAAGTGGCCTGCAAAGTGAAAACAAAGATTTATTAAAACCTATTCTACGCATCATGTAACACACTTATAGGCACCTGAATTGGAAACTTGTATGGTCAAATATTCGCCAGTCAAATTCGAAAAGAAACCCAGCAGAAAGCCCTTGGGTATGGTAGTTGTGAAGCCCACGCGTATATTCTCTGCAATTGTGGAACGGAAGGAGCCCTCGAACTCGTAGCGTATAATAGAACTGGAACGCAAATTGACGCCAATCTCTGCAAGCGATAAATAAATAATTGGTAAACATTAGTTAAGACAGTGGCGAGTATAACAAAAGCCAAAGTACCATCTGCGCAAATGGGTCCCTTGAAAGCACTCCAGCGGCAGTCGCAGCTGTAGCCATCGTAGCGTTCAATGCAGGTGCCATTGTTGAGACAAGGACTTGACTCGCAACGACCCACGCAGCCCGTGCTGATGCCGTAGATTCCACGCATCGAGTGCTGCTTCAAATCCACCATCTTTCCATTAAGTAAGAGCGCACGTATGCAGCCCACGTAACCATCGCGGTACTCAGTTGTGGAGCCAATGACCAAATCTGAAGTCAGATGCAGAGCACGCACGGGACCTGGAGGCTCGCGCACCTCAGCCTTTATGGAACCATCAACAACCAGGCGCGCTTCCTTTCTGTTACGCTCCACGCTCACAGTGTGCCAGTTGTTGTCGTTCAGATGATAGCTGGTGCCCACATTGACGCCCAGGGGACCGCTGCCGGCTTGGTACTGGAACTGCAGCTTGTTGCCGCCATTCAGACTCAGCTTGATATAGTCAGTGGGGCCAGTGGCATGGAACAGCACCGAGTTCTCCTGTGTGGTGCGGAACTCCAGATAAATGTCGCCCGAATGACCCATGTCAAAGGGCGGCAAATTAATTGAAGCATCAGCTATGCGGAACGTGACCACATTGCTGAACAAATCGTCGCCCTCGCAGCGCATGGGTCCCAGCGTGTATCGACCCTGCTTCTCATCCAGCGGCGTGCCAGTGTCACCGAACTTAACTGCACGCACAGGCAAATGTTCCTTTTCACGTATATCTCCGCCATCCTCGGTCCACTCTAGACTGTTGGAATCGCAGTTGCACCACTTGGTAGGGTCGTTACATTTGCCCAGGATGCCGCACTCGCATTTGCGCGAACCAGGCAAAGCGCCGGCCCAGTAGTCCATGGGCTGATTGTTACGCGAGATCCACCAGGAGAAGGGACGGAAGTTGCCAGCTTCAGCTATATGATGAATTCATAATTAATATCCAGAACGAATCTGAAAACTTGCTAAATATATATTTACTGGGCGAGTTGAAGAGACGCGACGAACGGCAGGAATAGCTCAGACGCTGCCAGCAGCTGTGCGAGCGATTAAGCAATGCTTCAATTTGCAGTTGATTGGCATCGTACATGATGGACTGCTCAAAGGAGCCGGGCTCCTGGAAGCCATCAACCGTGGTCGTGTGCTCCTGACTGTGACTCAGTGTGGTTATAACGCGTCCATCAGCTAAAAACAAGATTGATATTAGATTTAAGGACATATCAACAAACGCACACACATGCACTCACAGTAAAATTCGCAAGTAACTGGGAAAGGCTCCAGCGGACCGCTGCCATCGACATCAAGGTTCAGATTAACACGCTGCTGCACGTGCTGCACATTCTTCAAAGCCTGGCAGGACAAAGGATTGTTGGCTATAAGAAAGAAGCGAATGAGTTGCTAGCACACCAAGAAGCACATGGTTGTTGCTTACAGGTGTGACACACAGCGCCCGCATATCCAGTGTGTGCGCAGTCGCAGAAGAACTCCATGCTATTTTGATGGCACACGCCCTTGTGCTGGCAGGGATTCGGATTGCAGCGATCAATCATTTGGCAGGCATCGACGACAACCTCATCGCCGCAGCAAACCTCCTCGCCCTGCACCCAATCCTGTGGCAGCTTATAGTTGCCATCCACTGAGATGAGGCGCATGCAGCCCACAAAGCCATTCTTCTCTTTACCACCGGCTATGTAATACAAACGTCCAGTTGCTATCAGCAGATTCTTGGTCGTTGTCATTGGACGTTGATCGATATTTAGAATGAGACGATTGCGCTCAATCGAAAGCACAAAAGAATGCCATTTGCCATCGTTGAACTGTTCGTCATAGTTGTCCAGAATGATGCGTGGCTTGTCTTTGGCTTTGAGATCAATCTTCACTTTGCCAAACTCCAGAAACACTTTGATGTAGCCGCCCGAGTAGAAGTCGTGGTGTACCATAACGCCGCTCTCCTCGTACGTGCGGAAGTAGAAGGACACATTCAAGCGCTGCGAATTCTCATAGCCCTTCAGTCGCACAAACGAACCGCGCGTCGTGAAGGTAACAGGGTAAATGGGCGGCGAGGGGCAAGCATATATGGTGTTCACTCTGGTATACAAATATGCCTCGCCCAGCTCATAGCTCTCCTTCATGATTCTTATAAAGTTGGTCGAGTTAAAATAAATGTTCTCCAAACAGCCCGAGAAGTTCTGCTGCACAATCAGACCCTCCTGCACGTTGGGCACACCGCCTAAGTACAGCTCCCGATTGAGATTCAATCGACTAAACTCGCCCTGAATGCGTCCACGGACTATGACACGATCCACTGAGAATATGATGTCCCGTCGATTACGCGATATGACCACATCGTGCCACACATTGTCGTCCAGCAGACTACCCACAGAGAGCGAGGTCATAATGCCCGAACCCAGATCGAGATTCAGCACCATCTTGTTGTCCTTCAGCTGCAGCGCATAGTAATCCCCCTGAGTGCCGCGAGAGTACATCATGACGCCATTCGCAAAGGCGGTCTTGAAGCGGAAACGTATGGACTCGCGGGATGAGGCAATGGGTTCACGACGCAGATCATAGCGCACCAGGCCGGTGCCATTGAAGTAAAGATTCTCCGAGACTGTAAAAGAAGTGACTTTAGTTTGGATTGATTTAAACATGTTGTTTACTCACCATATTCGCAGCCGTAGAGCTCGACACGCATGGAGATGCGATCATGCCAGCGCGTGGGATTAATGCGCACCCACTGTGCAATAATGGGCACCTCGAAGACATTGTAATGTATGGAATTGCCATCGGTGTTGCCCTTGAACATCTGTTTTGGGTAAGTGCCTACATTAATAACTATAAATCAAATGCCCTAAGAGCCTTGCACCATGCCACAAATTTCCCTTTTCTTGAGTTAAGCTTTTGGTTAGGTTTAGTTAGATAGATTTTAAACTAGACTAGTGTGTTAGTCACTGTACCTGCGGCTCGCTCGTGGGGTTTACATACGAGCGCCAATACTCGCCGTCGTCCGAGTATTGGACAATGTACTCCGTCACAAACTCATCGGTGTGCATGCGTCCCATGGTGGCGATCTTACGCACCATTTGTGTCCCGCCCAGATCGAGTGTTAGAAAGTGATTATAGGTATTCTCGACAGGCGTCCAAGCCGCGTTACCTGCACCAGTTGCAATTCGGGTTAAGATCAGTTAGGTGAGTAAGCAAAAAGTGTGAAAAGGAAACCAAAACCAAAAAAAAAGAAAAAGTACTACAAATACATGAAACGAATAACGTGCAAACAACATAAAAAGCAAAAAATACAGCCAAAAAAAAAACAGGCATAAATGTAAATAAAATGTGAAATATAAATGAAAATCTGTAGATTTGTACAGCTGTTTAGCCAGCTCTTAACCGGGTTACATTTTCATCCAGCCACCACCAACAGCACCCGGACAAGCACAAACACACACACACATATATCTATATGCAGCGTGATTGGATTAGTGTGACAGATTGGAAGCGGGTGGTTCACGCTTACCTTTATGTTGCCGCCCGGCTCTTTATAGTCGGCAAACTCAAGATCTGTGATGCCATAGCTAATGGTATACTCGGTCACATATTCATTGCTGTGCGGGCGTCCTTGCAGCGCAATGTGCGTGACATTCTTCACCGCACCCAGGTCAATAATCAGACGCTGATCAAAGTCCGAGCTCTTGGCCGACCACGAGGTGCCAGCTTAACGATAGTTGAAGGGGGAGTGTGCAATAAAAATTAACGATACATAATTTAAAAATGAAAATATTTAACAAAAACAAAATCAATTTAAACTCTCAAATGGACTGGGTCGAATTTGCTATAGACAAATGTTGTGCATCGCAACTGCCTGCCAATTAAGAGGCCATAATTTAAGGCGATTTCGCTTGACAGCTGCAAGTGGTACGACCCTATATCAAAGGTCCTCCACAGGAGCAAGGGTAAGAGCAACCCCCTGCCAGGCACAAACGAAAATTCGCATTTGCAGTGGGAAACATGCAATATATATATTTGCAACAGGGGTGTGCCCAAGTGCCCTGGTGTTAACACTAAATGGACATGGCAGGCGGATTGAGCATAAACAATTGCCGCAGTCGGGATTCTGCTTTTGTTTTATTGTGTCCGGTCCGTGACCAAAGACTGTGTGAATGCGCTATAGCATCGATCGGCAGGGATTATATATGAAGTAAATTGCGCTCAAGTTGGGTTCAATGCCGCATAAAAGTTTCCATCGATAAAACTTTGGTAAACAATTCGGCAATATAAAGAAAAGAAAAAAACAAACTGCCTGTGAACCTAACTACCAAAAAGCTACCCTTGCCAAGCCGTGCTCTGCCTCTTCCTGCGCATATATTTATATTAAGCAAACTAAGTTGTCTGGCACATGTCTGGGACCCATTACAAGCGAACCGCGAGTGCCTACATTTGGGTTTATTGCCTTTTAAGCATATTTCCGGCTTACGTCTCTGTTCGTTTTATTCTCTGTTTGTTATTTCGAGTCCCAGAATTGGGCAGGAATATGCGGACAGCTGTTTAGCACGCCAGCATGTTAAGGCCCAAGAGTTCAATATAAAATTATAGTTACATTTATTTCTGAATCATAAACTATGCTAATATTTTGTATATTTCGTTCGTCTATTGGTGGCGTTTTTGCGGTTTGAGTAGCGCCTTCTGGCAGTAGGCCACCACATCCGGCTGTTCGGCGGCTGCACTGCGCTCGATTAGATCCTCGAAACGCAAAAACTCAAACTTAGCATGCTCAAGCGGCAGACAGTTGCGAAATGCGATGGCAGCACAATATTTGGGCGTTAGTAAATGCTCCTCAAAATGCCATTGGCTCATAGGCGTGCCGTTGCAGCAGAGCGTCGTGCCACACAGCGGCGAGGCGGCCTCCTCCAATGGATGCGTTGTGTCCATGGCAAAGCTAATCTTCTGCAGATCAACAGTTATGCCCACGCCCAGCTCCTTGACATAGGCCTCCTTGAGACACCAGTGGCGCATAAATGCCTTGAGCTGTGCGCGCTCGTTGTGCTGCGGTCTGCCAATGTAGCTCCACTCCTGGGGTGAGAATTTGCTCTGCATGAGGCGAAAGAACTCCGACAGAGATTTGCCGCCATTGTACTCGATTTTCATGACATCCGTGCCAATGCCGAACTCGGGGTCATCTTTGCTACCCTTGATGCCCGCCAGCAGCACCAGTTTGCCCTGGTGCGACACATTAAAGCTGAGCTGTGTGCTGGTCTTCAATTGCTGTGCCTGGACCCAGTAGGGTTTGCCGCGCACGTCTCGGGCGAATTGCACTTGATGATACGGCTCGTTGCTGCACGTGCTCACAAATTTCCGCATTAATAGGCGACCAATTAACGAGGACAGAAAATCATCGATAAAATGAAATTTCATTAAACGCGTTCGCTCCTCGGCCTGTATGGCAGCAACTGCATGCGTCAGCTGCGGCAGCGTGGGCGTCCACGTGCTCAAATCGAACGCCCATCGTTTGCAGATGTGTTTGTTCATTGGATTGTCGGTGCAAATATTATGCTAAATGTTTTTTATTTTATTAAAATGCAAAACATTGTCTTCAATTTTCGCTTAATCAACTAATTTACTTAAGCGCTGCTTCTTCTTGTTCGTATTGGCATTCGGCCAATGCGACGACACGCAGACCGAGCGAGTTAGCATCGCTGTGCGGCGAGTAGAGTTGTCAATGCGCGCGATTGGTCGCTTTTTTTTTAAAAAGTTGGCGGCTAAATAACTAAAGACAACAATACTAAAGCATAAACTAAAGTCAAAAGGCATTACAAACAAATAACAGCTTCAAAACAAAAAAAACATACGCAAGTAATCAACGACAACTAAAGACAGAAAAAACTGAAATACAATTATGAAGACTAAAACTTACCATTTAAATGCGCTTTGTCTGGTCCACGCTCCGTTAACGATGATGTGGCTGTTAAAACAGCCCGCTCCATCAACGGCTGGTTGCATTCATAGTCGGAAAAATAATCGGAGAAAGAATCTGCAAGCAAAGAAAACAATCAAACAATACGTTATTTTAGTATGTCGAACTTTCATTTATAAAAATCGCAAGGGTTGAACGTCCTTTCTTTCTCACATACATATGTATATATCGCACTCTATCTCTTGTAGACCAACTCAAGCGATCTCTCTCGCATAAGCTCGTTCTCCCTCGATGTCTCACGAAATAGTCCATAGTCCATCTCCCCCTCTCTCTCTCTCTCTTAGGAACATGTTTTGTTATTCTTACTCGGAAATGCGAGTGACCTTTCTATGCAGATCTCATGAGATCCAACAAAGCTTTTTGGTCGTTTCTCAGTGACTGATTTTAGCAATTTGGATCTTGTGTTTATTTTTGTATAGGCAAATACGAATATGTGTTGTTCCAGGCTATCTTTTAGTCGAGCACTCTTGCTTGTTTTTCTTACAGAGTTAAAATATTGGCTGCTTGACCTAAATATTGCGCACATCGGAAAGATGTTCGTTCATATATAAACTGTCACTGGCGTAAATAAAACTGAAAAGTTCCGTAATAAGAAAAGTAATACGCTTGGACAGGGGCCAATACATCTGAGTTCATACATAATTTCAATTATAAACTTTGAGTGGCATATACTTTGGTCCTTGGCGGTAGTCATGTGGCTTTTTAGTGCTTAATTTTATGAGCCATAAATAAAGCCCACGAGATCCGAAAAAAGAGTACACATTGCATTTATTTACTGCACTGCAATTTGTTGCCTCGTCTTATCTCTTATTTGTGTAAATATTTGGTTGCCATGACATTGTGCACTCGGCAAAGTGCGCCTTCTGCAATAGAAAAGTGCCCACTTAGACGTGCGGCAGGCGTGATAACAGGGCACGGAAATCCTATCGTCGACAATTGTCTGTCTCCGGCAACCCCCAAGGTGGCGACGCCTTTGTGGGTGCAGCTCCTGTTTAAACAGCGCCACAGCGACAACAAAAAACAACCCTTAGAGACCAGAAACCAGTGAAGGCTAAGAGAGTTCATGTGCACTTTCTGTTTGACTTTAAGTTGACGGTATGGGGGGAGGGGGGCAATAGCAACGCCTTGGAAAGCGTGCAGCAGATTAGCTAGAGTCAATCTTGATATATATACGCACATAAGTACAAACATATGTATGTAAGAATGGCCAACCCAGTTGGTAGAACCTGTGACAGGTCGTAGCACGCACAACATTTCAAGAAAATAATCAATAGAGGAGAGGGGGAGAGGAACAAATTTGAACTACTTTTTGATATCTCGACTAACTTGCAGTGAAACGACTTACTTTTTACATAATTGCCACGCCACATGCAATTCCAAATACGTTTTATTATGATTTCGGGAAATCACATTCGCAGTAATCACAACATGTACACACATATAATAATAAAAAATCTGGCTAATGTTCTCAATGAAATAAATATGACGTGACCGATATATTGAAAAGTAATTTCCGCCCGCTGAAATTGGAAGTGTGGATGATGCGAGCCTTGGCCGGCATATAATTATAAGCATCGAAATAAATTACCAAAGAGGCTGTCTAGTTGCCCGGCTGTCCGGCTCTCAATGGCGTGCAAAGCGTTGAGAATGTGAGGAATTGTTTATTTTTAGTCATAAAATGTTTGCATATGAACTTTAAATGTTTATTGTGGCCAGCGTATAATTAATTATTGATGCCAGCCAAACGGAGCACCTCAACATCTTTGCCTAGTTGACATATGGATCAGACACGTGCTAAGCACAGGATTTGCCTATGGCCAGTGCATGCGCACTTTAGCTGCAGCTGCAACAATGGCCGCAATGAAAAATGCCGGCTCCAATAAGCAATACGAACAGTAACGAGATTAAAAGAAGGCGTTGTTTGTTGGTTTTGTTTTGTTAGCGCTGTTCGTAAGCAGCGTTTGAGATCTGATGAGCGCGAGAGTGGAGAGCGCGCGATCGTAAAATTTGAAGAGCGAGTTAAAAGCGAAACACAAACAAAAAGAGAAGTGGAAAATGACGAGTCTTCAACGTTGGGGAACACGCCCAAAACTTGGCTTAAACGAATTTATGTTTTCATATACTAAAATCTTTATTTTTTATATAATGTCCAAACAAATCTATTTAGACTTTATATGTTTTATGAACATATTTTACCTGCTAATGCGATTCCCACGCTGTTGCTGCACAGCAGCAAAAGGCAGCTGCAAATTGAAATTGTTGCCGTTGCCTGCGTTGAGCTGTGTTGCCTCATTTTGGCTTTTGTATTGTTAAATCACCCAAAATGACTTAGACACATTTATACTTAATAAATTCTATTGTTTCACACTTATTTGCACAGTCAAACGCGCTTATTGGTGCAGCCAGTTGCAGACCAACGGGACAACTTGTTTTGCCAACCCCGCGGTACTGGCGTCGTCAATGTGAACAACGATAACACAAAATTACGCTTGTTTTTTGTTTTTGTCTTTATTTCACAGTTTTATTTTTTAAGCGTGCCTTGTTGTACTTTTACGTGCGCCCAGCCCAACGTAAATGGGCTTCGTCGTTTGATTAATAGAATAATTAACGCTGCGAGTAGATGACACACACGTCTCGCTACGTTCACAATGATTTAATAGTATCGATACACGAGTATAATGTAGATTATCCGATACTAATCAATTTTATTTCGATACTTTTCTATTTAGTATTTGACACTTATCAGCACTGAATTGAGCACTTTTGCGTTGCGTTGCTCATTTTTGCGTTACGTATAACGATTCGCACTACGTTACGCTCCCTTTCTGCTACGCCAGAAAAATTGTTGGCGTGTTTGTCAGACGTTGCAAAGTATTTCGGTTTTGTGTCAAGCAATATATAGTTAAACAGCAAAAATGTACGGCGGTGAGGAATTTGGTAACACGGTGAGTGTTTGCTCCTTGAAAGCAGCGGCATGCGCTGCATTCGCACAATTTGCAAGTCAACGGGGCTCCGCTAAACATAACCCAACTTTTGGGTACCCGCTACCATCAACAAAACACAATGCAAGCTAAGGAATTAATTTGTCCTTTTGTAATATTGCAGGACTTTTACGATGATTATGCGCACACGGGCGATCCAGCGCTGGATTTGGAGTACGAGCGTAACTTCTACGCCAACCGCATGCCCGAGAATGTCAAGTACTTTCTCATGAACTTCTGCCAGGCGATCAAGGAGGGGAATCTATATGACATACAGAATATGTATGAGAACACATTCCCGCAGATCAGCGATCACCACTTCGACAAGACTGCTTGGCCAGATGAGCAGGAAGTTGGCGCCATTGTGGACAATGACAAGGTGTTTCTGATTTTGTACAAGGAGCTGTACTACCGTCACATCCATGCCCGCATTCCGGGTGGACCCAAGCTGGAGCAGCGCATTAACTCTTTCTTCAACTACTGCGATTTCTTCAATCTAATCATTTCGGCTCAGAATCCCGTAATGCTTGAGCTGCCCGACATCTGGCTTTGGGAGTTGGTCGATGAATTCGTTTACCAGTTTCAGAACTTTGCCCAATACCGGTGAGTATTTTAATGATTTCTTGTTGTAATTGAACTCTAATCCTTATTAATCTGCACAGTGCACGCCTGACGGACAAGTCGCAGGACGAGATTCAGCAGCTATGCGTGAACCATAGCAACGTTTGGAGTATTTTGTGTATTCTGAATGTGCTGCACTCGTTGGTCGATATCTCCAACATTAAGAAACAGCTGGAGGCCATCTCTCAGGGCATCGATCCACAAACCGTAGCTGGCGACTTCGGCAAGCTTGCCTTCTACAAGATGCTTGGCTACTTCTCCTTGGTTGGTCTGCTGCGCGTGCACTCTCTACTGGGTGACTACTATCAGGCTATAAAGGTACTGGAGCCCATTGAGATACATAAGAAATCGGCCTACTCGCACATACCCGCCTGCCAAATTTCCACGTCGTACTATGTGGGATTTGCCTACATGATGATGCGCCGTTACGCCGATGCCATACGCACCTTCTCGGACATCCTGCTGTATATTCAGCGCACCAAGCAGCTGTATAGCACGCGCTCCTACCAGAACGATCAAATCAACAAGCAGGCAGAACAAATGTATCATTTGCTGGCCATATGCCTGGTGCTGCATCCGCAGTGCATTGACGAGTCCATTCAGCAAGTTTTGCGCGAGAAAAACTACCATGACGCCATGTTTAAAATGCAATGCGGTGATTTGGAAGTCTTCAAGTCGTTCTTTGTCTTTGCATGCCCACGATTTGTTAGCCCCTGCCCGCCCGCCGCTGATGCGCCCATGGAAGACTACGTGAAAGACCCAATGGAGCACCAGCTGCTCGTTTTCATGGATGAAGTGCGCCAGCAAAAGGATTTACCTACCACCCGCTCGTATCTCAAGCTCTACACAACATTACCGCTGACCAAACTGGCCTCCTTCATTGATCCCAATGCGAGTGAGGATGATGTGTCCAAGCTACTTATACGTTTGCTATGCTTCAAGCACAAGATGCGCAATTTGGTTTGGAGCAAGGGTCCCAGTGGTCTCGAGGGCACCTTCAAGTCGGGCTCTGAGGTAAGTTGTACCATATTTTTTTTTAATTGGGATTAATTTAAACAAATACTTGTCACCTTTTAGCTTGACTTCTACATTGACGATGATATGATCCATATTGCCGACACAAAGGTCTCACATCGTTATGGCGATTTCTTTGTGCGAAAAATAATGAAATTTAACGACTTGAATCGCAAGCTGAAGAACATCAATATTTAAACACCTAAACCAACTACTTTGTAAACGTTCGTGAACTATTTAATATTCCGATTTGGACTCATTTGCTTTGGTATCAATAAAAAAAAAAAAGAAAACTTCTAATGCGGAGCAACGCAGCAAAAGGTCGAAACAAATTTGTGATTTTTAACTACCCACAACACAGAATGAAAATTAACGGTGAGATTTCGATTTTAACATTTACTTTATTTTTTTTTTAACAATACCATTTTGTTATATAAAATTTGTATTACTATAAGGAAATTCAATAATCTACACTTATTTTTGTGAATTTTCTACAATGCCAACAGATTTCTCTGTCAGGTGCTCGCACTTTGCAAATTCAGCAGCTTAGATTTAGTTTGGAATGCGTGTTTTGTGCGTGTTTGTTGTATAAAATTAAATCTTCGTATTTCGTTTCTTTGCCACTTCCTGTTTTATAAAACATCGTAAAAATTTCTTTGGTAAATTAACTATTCTTGATTTTAATATATTAAATAAGTATTTAAGGGAGAGTATATGGTTAAAAGGTCGATTAAAATAGGCGCAGAGAACCTTTACATGCAGCTTCTGCATTTGCACACAATTACAAGGTTACAAGAAAAAGTAAAAGGGTTTTCAACTTAGATTAAACACATTTTATACACGAAATAACGCTTGCGCATTTCACTGTGCTCCCATTAGCGGGCTTAAGGCTAACACTTAATAAAACAATTTACAAATTACGGACTTATTTGTGGGGCCAGCGGTGCCGCTAGTCGACGCTCACAGTGCGCTGGTTAACGTCGATCAGATAGATGGCTTTGTGATTCTGCAGTACAAAGTCGACAAATGCATTAATGGGTGCTATCTCCTCCAGCGAAGTGTTTGTACGACCAGACCACAAGAAGTTGGGACCGAACACAATAGCCAGATTCGAGGACGTCATCTTGTTTAGGTCCGCACAGTCTACGACTCGCACCAGAAAGTCCACAATATACTTGAACAGCTCGTAATTCTCCTCGGGCAGTTTTTCGCGTATCAGCTGGGTAACGTTTCTGGAACGCTCCTCCTTGGGCCAGTCTAGGAACTTGGTCACATCATCGTACAACTCAAAGGTTAGCAACGGTTCGGCAAGATCCCGCAGGAAACTCTTGAGCAGACCTGCGATGACATGCACATTGACACTGCTTAGATCGACATCCTCGCCACGGTTGACGCGCTCCTTTAGAGCCATAATCTCAGCATGATTGCCAGAACGCCTAAAGATACCCTCCGTATCAATGACGCCCGTGATTGAGAGCGAGTCCACACACTTGCGCACAATCGGCGGTATAGAGTTCAGGCATGGACTGTGCATTACGATGAACTTTAAGGTCACGCCAAACTGCATCGTAGGCCGCCCATTGGGTGTTGCTGGCTGCGATACACGGCCGCGACTCGGATTCAGTTTATCGTCAAAGTCGCAAATGGTGTCGGGCAGCTTGAGCTTGTTCAGGCCCAGCGCTTGACGTAGCTCATCGAGGCTGGAGATGTAGACTAGCTTTTTGCGAAACTTGTCGCTGATAAACGGACTAAAAAAGTTCCAGATGACGCGTATAAACCACGTCGGGTGCACCACATACAGAGTCTTTAGATTTTTACGGAAATTGCGATCCAGTTCCTTGTACGAGTTCCACAGAAATTGTGCCGAAGGCTTATTATCCTCCTTGAGACCCTGATGAAAGTACACGAGTATATAATCGTTCTCCACAAACGGTTCAATCTCTTTGATGACTTGGCTATAAAAAATGGAAGAAGGATGCCATGTTATAAGTTTATCTGGGAATCAACTTGCAGCACCTACCGCACAAAGCCCTCAAGCTGTGATTTTTCGGGAAAGCGCGAGGCGTAAATGCCAAAAATGTGACGTCCCTGCTTATCGGTGCCCAGAAAATCACATTTGTTTTTGGTCGCCTGGAAGTTCTCGGACTGCTCACGCAGCTGATCAAAGTCGTCCTCTAAGGGATTTGGTGCTTCGTCTGACTCAAGTTCGGGATCTGCAAATGCTTTAAAACGTTTTCAAACCACGCTCAATTACCCACCCATCACTCCCCTCCTGCAACTCACCATCGGCTAGCACAAAATCGCCGACCATAACATCTTCTGTGAATAAATAAAGTGTTTAGTCATTTCGTGTACACTATATGCTAAATAGTTCTTACTCTCTAGTGGCGCTGGGGTCAATAGCTCGGTATCATCAAACTCCAGCTTGGGCTCGCAGTCATGCAAATCGGATAGACTAGGCAGCGGCTCCTCAGAGTTACCCACAATTGAGCTAATGGCGGGCCCTTGTGCATGTGAAAAACAAAAAGCAATTTATTAATCTCTTAGGATTTCTTTTGGAGTGGTGAGAATTTCAAAAATGTAATCTTACAAGTAATGCTTTTCACTTAAGTATTTTGACGGCCTTAGGCAACAAGTTAGTTCGGATTTGTGTATTGAGTAAGTGAATAAACATGAATCAGAAAGAATTTGATGAGTTATTGGGCTTTAATTGTTTCTATTCGAGAATTCAATTCAATTTTACAAAGAGATTTCCAAAAATTGAGAGAAGAGCGAGAGAAAAAGAAAGGGTATTAGCTAAGCCACACAAAACACACACGCACAAACAATAGCAAGAGTAGCTACAAAAAACATCTAGTTAAATTTACAATTATGCATTATGTATTTTTGAATGTATGCTACTTATGTACGTTCTATATACAGTGAGTAATCACCTGAATAGGCATGAGATGCTCGATTTGGGTTAGTAGCACAAACAATGTTGGGGGAGTTAAATGTTAGTCTAAAGCAAGGCAATAATTGGTTACGATTACTGTTTATTTTTACAGTTACAGCTAACGTTTAAATCTTAAGCGAGCGCAAAAGCATTCGAGACTTTTTCGGAGAGCAAACAAATAAACAAAACAAACAGAAATGGTAACATATTTACTTATACAATTACAACTAAAATGACGGCCTACTGACTGTTAGACAGCGAGTCTTACCTGGTAATCGCGCTGGGAAACGTGAATTGGCATCCATTGCCCCAGAGACGTGTTTTTCGTTGTGCAAATTTGCTGATTAACAAATGGTGACAGCTGGAAAACAAAAATAGGTAAAATGTTGCAGTCGTTTGAAACCGACTGTACAATACTCTGTTCACAGAATAAAAACAACTTAAAGAAGTGGCTCTTAGACTAAGTGCTAAACAATTCACAAAATCACTTTATGAACAGAGTATAAAAAAACAAAGTACACGACAAATACATTAGCCAAAATTGGGTGTACAAAAACTACTCTAATGACGTCACGTCTGCTCGACTCAGACAAGCCATGTACGAGGTAACCAGCACAAGCTATTAAACTTGTTTCTTGCGCTTATCGCACGCTGTTCCCGCCGCGCTGCTGCTGCTGCTGTTAATGCTGATGAGCGCTGATTCATATTCAACTTTATCGCCAATACAACAACAATTGATTTACGCTGAATGGCAATAGGTTATTTCTTGCTTCTAGCGACACGGCAATCGGTAAAGTTCAAGTCGAGCCGAGGCCAAAGCTAAACAGTTGCACGCAACGCGCAGTGGAGGTGGGAGAATGGCGGCGGCGACGCCTACGCCCACCACCAAAACAAACTACAGTATTTGCATGTACATACAAACACGCACACATACATACACGAGTATGTCGATTTTAGACTGACTGAAGAAAACAGTTTATCTTCAATTAACATTTAAATATACTTTGTAACACTTTAATCGCATACTTATTAAGGAGTTCATATATTCTTTATCATAAGATTGTGCCACTCATGCTATTTTCTGCGTCACTGTATGTATCATTAAGAGACATGTACATTATGTTCATACATAATGTATACATATATGTATGTATGAATATGTAACAAAATTTCTTAGTTTAGTTATCCCGGAAATTATTGACAAGACAATGTCAACAGCAAAATTCAGCTGACATTTAGGAACTGCGCATTTACTGCTCCACTGTCATGCACATATAATATTATTTACTTTATTATTGTCAAAGAGCTTTTTATCAGTAACAGCGCAACGGCAATCGAGATGAAATGGGTGTTCACGATTCGCAAATTTAACAATTATATTGTCTGACTATGCTCCACTTCGTCTTATTTAAGACTGTCAGTTAAATAATTACCTATCACTTTTTTTTGTCTGTAAAAAATTCCAAAAACAAAATTGCAACAATGTTTTCTGTCCAGACGAAAAAGTTTGTGTTTAACTCTGCGCCACAGCAGGGCTGGCTATTAGAAGAGGCGATGTTTTATGCCAGGGCTGCTGTAGCGGATAATTTTATGTTTTTGATAACGGTACACGTGTTCCACATTTGAGGGCACAATTAAAAACACATTCAAAGTTAATCAATTTGTTTAGTTTTCTGTGTGCACCTTTAATAATAACCCTAACAAAGAACAGTCACTTGTACATCATTCGTCAAGTTACTGGCTGCTATCGATAGTAGCGATGACGCTTATCGATAACTGAACATATCTTTGGTGAAAAACAAAACACCGTGCGCCAGCCCTTGTTTTGACTGACCGATTGACTACAGTTCACAATATTTGGGTGTAAAGCACAACAGCATTAAATTTGCTAAAAATGGTTGGTTGGAGCCGTTTGCTGTTGCCAGCGGCACAATTTGCCAAGAATCGCGCAGTTCTGTTAACCCCTGCCACAAGGAATGGTAAGTACAGGTGGAAATTTGAAAAACATAAAGCTGTAAACATAGCCCACATTACGCAACCACATGCTAATATGCTTCCACGGACTCCCATTTAAGCACTGCAGCAGCAATTACGCCAAATGGCCGGTGATCATGGACACCATCACATGAGCATCAAGCCCTCACGCTTCCAATGGGACAAATTCAAGGATCTGATGCACTTTTACGTAATGCTCGGCGTAATTCCGGTCACAGCGCTGGTGTTCTACGCAAACATCTTTGTGGGACCATCTCAGCTGTCTGAAATACCCGAAGGCTACGTGCCTAAGCACTGGGAATACGAGAAGGTGCGACTGAGCTATTAACACTTTAATTGGATCATACAAGCGTATTTGATTTCTGTTTTTAGAATCCCATTTCCCGGTTTATTGCGCGCTATATTCTGACTTCGCAGCAACAGGAATATGAGAAAGCCCTGCACAATATATACGAGGAAAATGAGAAAGCGCAAATTCGGTACACATCATATGAGTTAGAAAATGTACAAAACTTCAACATTTATATTTCTTGTTGCTTGCAGCAATCTCGAAGAGGAAATCCGCCGTAAAATGTCTGAGCGTAACGATTACCAAGCCTACTATTACCGACCAACAGTAGCCAAATATCATAGAGTATCCAAAGAGGCTGCCGAAGAGCTGGAAGCACTGCGTGGCGACTAAGCAGTTAGCCCCATTTAAATTCTGCTGATTTCAATTAATTTGTTTTCAAATTTGGTCCTTTAATAGACGTAACTAAGACCTCGAGTTGAGGAAATAAAATGTGAAAATATAGGGTTTACAGCGACAACTCATACAATTAAATAACATAAATTTTAACGTAGATAAATAAATACATATTAAGTAGTAGCATGGTGCGTGTCGGTTTAGCCCCACGCCTGATTCTTGCAGTAATATAGAACTAATTTGCCATTTGTGCCATGGCATTCGTACAAGTTTTTGATGATCTGATCCGGCGCGGGTGCAAACGTTTGATTTACATATAGAAACTAAAAATATAGGGGGAAACATTTTATGAATAAGCATTGAATAAGGTTTCAAGAGACGAACGCGTACGTACAATCTGTTCATTGGCGTCCAGCTTCAGGAATTTATGTATAAATTTCTGAATCCAACTGACTGTCTTGTTGGGATCCACGGTCCACGTACGTTTCTTTATAATAGGCACATTACCAGTGGCATTAAGCAGAATGCAAACTAAAAGCGATAAAAAAAATTAAAGATTTTTGCAGTTGTACTGTGCACTGCTGCTTACTTTTAGCTGCATCCTTGTCGGTGGGTGTTGTGGAGGTGGTGGATGTCGTAGCGGCCACTTGTGCTTCCTCCGTGTCCGTCATATTATTGGAATGTTCTTTAAAACGCTATTTATTTTTAACTTTGTAAATAGTCAGCTCTGCATTAGCACCCTTTGTTGTAGTTGCTAGCCAGGGCTGCAAGCGGAACCACGCAGGTTTCGGAATTACTTAAAGAATAGTTCATTTTGGTATATGGAACCAGTTTAAGTGTACTTAATAAACACACGTGCTGGCTTATTATCAATAAATATAAAACAAACGGCGTTTAATATGAGTAACAAATTATTCGATGGCTCAGACGACGACGCGGACGATCTGCAGATATCCACTAACCAGGACTACGCCAAGTCATATAATGTTTTACGCAAGAAGGAGTTGTTGCAGAAGTGTAAACTACCTTATGACCTGAACAACGATCAAACAGATCCCTAATGATTTTTTTTTTGTAGATAAGGATCGGGGCCTAGAAATCTCAGAGTCAGAGCTGGACAGTGACAGTGAGTCATCGGATGAGGATGAAGTGGACGTTAAATTTGATCAAGAGTTTTTTAAAACTCTGGCATCATTGAAAAGCAAAGATCCTCGAATATACGACAAGGAGACGCGTTTCTTTAACCAAAAGGAGGGCAGTGCCAGCAGTGAGGACGAAGATTCGCCCAAAAAGAAATCCAGCAAGAAGAGCAAGCCTGTTACGTTAAAGGACTACGAGCGAAAAGTTATCTTGGAGCATAATGGCAAATTCGAAAGCTCTGACGATGAACAACAGCAGACTGACGAGCATCTTGAACGTGCACGTTCGCCCACAGCTGTGGAAGAGGAGCGGCGTTTAAAGGCAGAATTCAGAAGCTTAATGAACCAGGAAGATGATGGAGAAGATGAGGAATTTGGAGGTATCTTTAAGAAGCGTACGAAAACCCAGGCGCAAACGGACGCCGAGGAGGCAGATTTTGCCAAATGGCTGGCTGGCAAACAGGCAGATGCCGAGATTGAGGCCAGCGCAAAACAACAGTTGGCCCCGCTGAAGCAGTACTGGAGCAGTAACAAGCTTACCCAAGGCGAGAGCTTTTTACGCGACTATATACTGAACAAGGGTTATGCGAATACGAAAGCATCCGAAATACCCACCTATGACGAGATCGTGGGCGACAATGCACCGCTGTCAGATGATGAACAAGAGCTGGAGAAGCAGGCAGAGTTTGAACAAAAGTACAACTTTCGTTTCGAAGAGCCGGACACGGACTTTATCAAACGTTATCCTCGAACAATTGAGCAGTCGATTCGACGTACGGACGACTCGCGAAAGGAGAAACGTAAGGAGATAAAGGAGCGTAAAGAGCAGGAGAAGCTGCAAAAGATGAAGGAACTGGATCTGATAAAGGACATGAAGCGTAAGGAAATAGAGGAGAAGATACGCAAGCTAAAGGCCGTCACGGGCAACGATGAGCTGGGCTTCAAGGTTGATGAACTTGAAGAGGATTTCGATCCAGAAGCACACGACCGTCGCATGCAAGAATTGTTCAATGACGAGTACTATGGTGTGGACGAAGGAGAAGAGAAGCCAGAGTGCCCTTCGGATATCGAAGAATTGGCCATTGAGGACTGGGACAACTATGATCCACGGCAAAGCAATGGAGTTGATACCGAGGCGCATTGCGAAGATGATGATTTCAACATGGACTGTGATTATGATCCGCTCACGTCCAAGCAGCAGCTGCAGCAGGAACTGATTGAGAACACTCGCAGTCGCAAGAGTCGCAAGGGACGCCGCAACCGGTTCATGGAAATGATCCAAGCGGAAAAGCCAGCCTTTAATCCGGAGGATGAGCAGACCTATGGGGAATACATCGATGAATACTACCAAATGGACTATGAGGATATTGTAGGCGATCAGCCATGTCGTTTTAAATACGTAGAAACGACGCCAAATGATTTTGGTTTAACGATCGAAGAGGTAAGCCATTGGCAATGTGTCCTAGTAGAATGCTTCCAATAACTCTCTGCTTACTTCCAGATCTTGCTGGCTAAGAACAAGGAGTTAAATCAGTGGGCTAGTCTGAAGAAGGCTGTACAAAACCGTCCAGAGTATGTGGAGAAAAAAGAGCAGCGCTTGTACAAGCTGAAAGCCAAAAACGAGGATCTTAAGCGGAAAATTTTCAAAAGCTTATACGGCGATGCGTAAGTAGAAGATCGAAAATATAATCTCATGTGGACCAAATTCAAATTATTCACTTATTCACTTATCTCACTGACAGTTCGGAAGATGAAGAGGAAACAGGAGCACAAAATGAAACACAGCCAGCAGAGAAAACGGACTCCAATGAGCAGTCCGCTGCGCCGGTAGCAGACCAAATCCCCACAGAGACCCTATCGAAGTCCAAGAGAAAACGACTGAAGCGTAAAGCTGCAGCAGCAGCAACTGCAAAGAGCCCAACAGCTCCAACAAAAACTGGAAATAAGGTGAGCACTGAGCCAACTAAGCAGGAAGATACAATGACATCAGATGCAACACTTCCTAAAAAGAAGAGGATTGAGAATGCAGAACAGCAAAATGCACCAACTGCGACACCAGCTAAGAAGAAAAAAAAGGGAGGAAAAGAGCCGCAAAAGGCAAAACAAGAAACCGATAAAGTCAACTCGAAAAATCCTTTTGCCAAAAAGCAACTTTCTAACAAAAATAATGAAAATCAAAAGAGTCCAGGTGCAAATCGGTTTAACAAAAATAATGAAAAGCAAAAGAGTCCAGGTGCCAATCCGTTTAACAAAAATGATGAAAAGCATAAGAGTCCGTTTAACAAACAGCAAACGCAAAAACAGGATACTGTTGGGCAAACAACTGGCGCAAATCCCTTCAGGAAACCAGGTAAGAATAACGATGCGCCACGTCGACCAGGCAGTGGTGCGACCAATCCACGTTCAAAACGCGACTTCAAAGCTAAAGGCAAGCCGAGTAATTCCAATCCCAATGGCATTACCGACGACCGCCTCAAGGCATATGGCATTAATCCGCGCAAGTTTCACAATCGGCAAAAGTATGGCAAAAAAGCGCAGTAAGCAGACTTCAGGGAAAAGAGGGGCAAATATTATTATATATATATTTAGTACTCGCCTCTGCGAGACGGTCTTATGTACATATACATTAAAAAAAACAATGTTACACAGATACGAGTTAAAAAACACAACACTTTAAAGTGACCGGGTTACGTGGTATTCGCCGGTTGCACTTCATCGGAGGCATCGTTGGCATTGATATCAATTTCCTTATCCACCTGCTTGCTTAGAGTACATTCTAGCTGCAAGCGACGCTCCTGGATACGCACACATTTCGGGCAGATCATGTTCTTTCGTGTCAAGCACACACGATGGTATATAGAGTTGCATTGGTCGCACTTGATGCAGCCATCGTCGAAGGGAAATATGACTTCGTTGTTGCTACAGATTTCACAGATGTACGCCTTGGCCAGACACATGTCACAGCGACGTATGTGTACGTCAAATACCTTGAAGACGCCATGCAGGAAATCTGCCAAGACGCCCGATTCCACCTGTACGAGATCGCCAATTGAGTAGAACTCATTCGACTGGGCCAAGTGCCGGCGCCTGCCCAGCTGTTGGTCTACGAGTTTCTGCTCAACGGCCAATTTGCAGGCGGCCAGGTAGTGGCGCATATGTACAAGATTCTGGCGCAATTTCTTAACGGTGCACAGTTTTTCGAGAAACACAAATAACTTGGGATTCTCCTCCTCCAGACGGATGAGCGGCTTGTCCACGAACAACTGAATCTCCTGTAGACCTGTGCGCGATACTCTGCGTGGCGTGAAATCCCAGTTGTGCACAATACGCGCTGGCACTATAAAGCTATCATTCCAATGGCACGACGGGCAATAGTAGAGACCGCGGTAATCGCAGAGGCGCGGCTCAATCCACGAATTTTCTGCAAGCAGGTGATGTGAGTAACCTGAGGCTGAAGACTCTGCAGTACTTACTGAAATTGAGTAGCGTCGAGCACTCGGCGCACTTATAGCGCTGCGCCGCAAGGCCAATTTCGGGGCAGATATCGGCGATGGGATACTGACGTTCGGATGCCAGAACATGAGCACAAACTCGCTGCACGCTGTCAATGCATTTCTGATGCACCAGATAGCTGCAATCGCTGCATATGTAGGCCGCCTGCACCACTCGCCAGATGATGCCCGTACAATGGTCGCAATAATAACGCTTGGCAGCCGCTTGCAGGCGGTTGCGTGCGCTTGGATAATGTGGCACAAAATGGTGACCCACGACGGATTTGATGGCATTCATCAGTACCACATCGTCGCTGGAAATAGCCTGCGCCTCCTCCAACTCTTGAAGCGAATAACGTAGGTCCACCAAATGACGGACAAGCCAACGGCGTTCCTCACTACATTCATCGCTCAACAAGACCAGATCGCGGCAGTGCGCAATGGCCGCCTGCAAGTCCTGTATGTTGGCATCAGATGT